TTTTTTTTTTTTTTTTTTTTTTTTTTTTTTTTTTTTTTTAAATAAAAAATAAAAACTTAAATCATTTCTCGATTTATGCGTGTCATCCTTGCGCACGGGCCATGCAGGATTCCGCGCGGTTGATTACAGCTGTGAGATCCTGATGATCACGCGGTCGAAATCAGCCGCGCCTGACCGCCTGGGCTGCTCCAAAAGGAGCCGGCCCGAAGTCATGTATAGATTCGATCCCCGCACATGCGGGATAACAGTTTGGCATGCTACCTATCGGACTGGCTCCTACTACGAATGCTACTACGAATGTAGTAGGGGCAGCCCTACTATATGTTCGTCTTCCTTACGCAGGGCCATGCTGTAACAGAGCGCCCGATATGGGCCGTGCGATCTGTGCGATCGGACGACCAGAACCGATCGCGCAAACAGCGTTATAGCAGGGCAGCTCCAAAAGGAGCTTTGCCTAGTAGACCGACATGTCAGATTCGATCCCGGTATCTGTCGGTTGAGAGTTTGGTGTGGTAACCTACTGGTCTAGCTCCTATCACGATAGTGATAGGAGCAACTCTCCTATAAGAAGAGTTTGGCCCAGCCAATGTCCCCCGTTCCGCGGCATTGCACGCCCTGCCTGCCCATAGCCTGTCTTGGCCCTGCCGGCTCTGCCAACTCATGGCCCTGCACGCTCAGTTGGTCGTGTGACCTTGGCATCGGCCTATCACCCTCCTGGCTCGGCGTCAAGCCCCGCGGCCCTAGAATTAAACTCCCCTTCCTATTCCCCCTGCGTCGCGGCTTTATACCCGGCGCACACCTCTTTTTAGCTCACTTAGGCCCTGAATCGCGCGGCTGYTACATTATTTTAGGTAGACTAGGTCTAACTTTAGTTTTTCCATGCCCGCACACTACTGCGGCTTCGTCGAGAACTGCGGACGACAGTGCGTACCGCCAACCCCCGTTGTCTCGAACGGACGTCGAAGACGTCACACGTCAGCGACGTCTTACGTCGACAACGTCAAGCTTTAAGTATTTCAGTTATAAGGTTGGCCTGAATAAACTTTGGCAACGTCAGTCTCATCATATTCCCCAACGACATAAGTCGGACGGTGTCTGACCTTGAAAAACTCGGGCAGAAACCCTTACAGACATTTCTGTCCCGACATCCTTCCCTGCCCCCATTAAGCGACGTCCCCGTCGCTCACCATAAGGGAAGTCCTTATTAGACCTCAGCGAATATATCACATAATCACAGTACCTCTGGAATTAACCGAGATTTTACATACTTATACATGATAAGCGATGTTTCCATCGTTTGTCTCCCTTTCCTTTTATAATTATCCGGATACTCTTCATGAAACTCTCCGTGCAGAGTTCATTACCATCAATGCAAAGGGCTTACTTTCAAGCCTTTAATAAACAACGACTTACTTTCAAGCCTCTAGCACAGAGGCCTACTTTCAAGCCTCGTAATTCTTTCGAACCTTCCTTCGAAAGCACTTTCCTTCAGTCACGAGTTGGAATGGGGTCAGAAATAAGCTCTAACAGGCCTTTCCCCGAAATCTGGAATCCACCGTCGACCGTCGGCGTTACCCAGCCTAAGGAGTTATAAGAACCTTTTAGAAGAATGATCCCAGCATCATCCCACTGGCGGCCACTCATTTTTCCTTTTGTCTCTCATAGATGGGTCAGGCTTATGCCCCTGATGGGACTCTCTTCAGGCTATAACCCCCGGTCTAGGTCTCGTCAGGCTTAACCCCTTGCGGGTCTTTCATTCGTACAACACATACTGCCAGGAATTTAACCTGGGTCTCTCGTGTTTATGGGGATGCATTCCCATCACCTCAGCATATCTCTCGCTGCCAGGAGTTTAACCTGGGCCTCCCACGAAACACAAGGATACTCACACTATACTACAGCATGTGCCGTCACCATCCCAGAGAGAAATCACCCTTCCAAAAGCCATTGTCCAGTCCGGCTAATTCCCACTCCAACTTAATTGTCATGCATGACTTATCTCCTTCATGTCTTGTGAATGTGTCGAGGAGTCGTGTAATCCAGAAAAGGATAACATCTTGACGTCAAGCCCCGCTTTAGACTCGAGCCTCACCACTTTCCCTCCGATTCCAGTGTCATACATCTGTTAGTACCGTACCCGCAAGGTTGAACTACCCCTCATGACCCAAGCTGATCAGACCCGGCCATAAAGTCGAGGCGACCCCATTCATCACAAATGAAAAGGTGATCAATCTTTCCCTCATGGCGAGCGGTAATCGTCACCCTCACAAGCAAGGTTCCAACAAACATATTACCATCTTCCTCCCTTTCGACGATAGTGTAGTCACTCTCCTCGAAAGGGAAGACGACAACATCCCGCTATGGACCAGGAACAAAGTTCTGGCACAGGCCTCACTACCGTCTACGGGGCTCACAACATTAGGATTCCTCATTGCATGTCAATCGAAACAATACCACGTCGTAGCGCATGACAAGCAATTGAATCACATGTCCGCCGAATAACATGTGTTAATCCAGCCTGGCATATGATTCAAGTACACATCATCTCCTTAGACATGCACTCATATAAATCTCTCATTCATAACCACATACACGGAGTCCCATAAGAATTCCAGGTTTTTTTTTTCTTTTTTCAGTCCTTCACATATGTGAGGAATACTTTAATAATATAAGTATCCGGCAGCTCCACAATACTCTTCTTGCAATGAACATCCAATCATGATAAAAATCTCACAAAGTCCTTTGGTATCACTCTTTTATTTTACAATCAGTATTCAATACCTCTTATGCATAGAGACAGTTGTGAGAAAATATCGTAGTCATTTTACAATTGTCTGTGGCAGTAAGGCACAAATCCATTATTACAAAACAACAGGAGTCACAATCCCATCGATAACCTTTCAATCTCACTACTTTTATCAGTAGTCTATAATTCCCTTGGCTAGCCTAAGACAAAAGTCAGAACCAACTGGACCACAATACAAAAGCAAGAAAGTTACCAAAATTAATGCCAACAATTACCTTCTCTCCTTTTTCTTTTTACCAAAAGTTTTCGTTAAACTCTCGGAATGAACTTTCATAGATGTGCACCTGATACCCAATTTCTACCCCGAGATCCATCCAACTCCTCTATTTCATATGCCCCATGTTCTGTTTTCCTAGTGATCCGATATGGTCCTAGCCACCGACTGTCTAGTTTTCTGGACCACTGTTTTTCTAGCGACATATCATACAACAAGACGATGTCTCCCACTTCCAACGACTCTTTTCGTACACGTGGCCTCTTGTCCCATCTTTCCTTGTCAGCTTGCCTGCTTTCAGAAATAGACACAGCCGCATCCTCAATCCGTTCTTCAGTCGCCATGATCTGTTTTGCCCTTAACTCCAATAACTCTTCCGTTGAAAGTTTCGTTTCCACGTCCTGTTTTTGCCAAGTGGTCAGGAAACTCTCGATTGGAAAAGTCGCATGCCGACCAAACCATAATGTGACGGGAGCATACCCGGTCGTTCGCTTGATGGTAACATTCTCAACGAAAAAGGCTGCCCTAAAATAAATCGACCATCTTGATGGCTCCCCCTTGCACCATTTAGCCAACAAGTTAGATAAGGTGGCATGCCCTCGTTCCACGGGTGCATTGGCCTGGGGATGCGCTCTCGTCGTATAACTGAAACTCACCCCAAGTCTCTTTAAAAATGTTTGCACCTTCTTTGCTTGAAACTCGCCTCCTCGATCCATAACAATCTCTTGAACAAATGGATAACGGAGGTAATATTCCTCAATGCACTCTGCCAAGACTGATCCAGTACGTTCGCGAATGACACGACCATCAACGAACCCAGTCAAATTGTCCCGTGCATCAAAGATGTATCTGTATCCATTTATCCCAGGTGGCATTACCAAAAGATCCAAATGCACCACCGCACCTGGTTCTGCCACATAACGTGGATTCTGGGGCTCGAGGTAGTGGATGTTAGACCTCTGTTGACAAGGGATATAAGATTTACAAAAATCGATCACCATCTTGCTCATCCCTTACCAGAACTAAAGGCGTTGGATTTTGTTCAAAGTTACCCGCGCAGATCTGTGTCCGCCGGCTACCCCATCATGCAGAGCAGCAATCACATCCAACTGTCGAGAGATTCCGCATACCAACCTCTTTGGGACACCATCAGCAACTTTCTTAAAAAGATGACCGTCACGAACAACGAATCCTTTGCTTGTCTCCCGCACAACCGGATCAACCTCACTTTCGTCCAATTCCCTATTCAACCACATGCCTATCTTCTTATATTCCCCTTCGTACTCCTTTTCCTTGAATGCCTCTTTAACCTCACTGCTCCCTTCCTCCGTATTCATTAACCTCATGCGATCCTCATGAACCAACAAGTTCATGATATATGACATCCTTCCAACAGTCTGGAAAGCGTCATCAGCCTGCACATGGCCCTGTTCAATCGTTAGCGGATCAAGCATAAGGTCGATGTCATCGGTCAAAGCCAGCCTCATCATTTCCTCTGCGGTCTGCTCGCCGCATGGGTCCTCTTCGATGAAAGGTTTCTCCACCACGAGTTCTGGACGTACCTCGTGACAGATGGGAGCATTCCATATTGATTTCCCATGTCGAGTGACCGCATCAGTCAGGTAGGCAAAGGAGTTAATACTCAACCTCGACTCCTCTTCTTTCAAAAAGGCATCGACCGGAACGGATTCCTCTGCCTGATCCGTCTCTGGATCCCATTCAACCCGACTCAACCCATCAGCACGATTTTGACTCCCCGAAATCCGCTCAATTTCGAAGTCAAACATCCAGATATAAGTCAGCCATCGTGCAATAGTGGGATCTGCAGGTGAATAATTCCTTAAGGACTGAGCCAATGCAGTCGGATCCACTCGCAGGATAAAGCGTCTACCAGACACATAATTCCGAAAAATACGGAAACAATGAAGTACTGCCAAAGTTTCCTTTTTGAACTGAGAATAGTTCCTCTCAGCAACATTCAGAGTCCTACTCTCAAACCTGACAGGTCTTTCCTGTCCCTCAGCATCCTTCTGAATTAAGACCCCTCCTAGGGCTGTGGGCCCTGCATCAGTCTCAATAACAAAAGGACGTCTTTCATCATCGTCGAAAAAAGGAACTCCAGGGATCAATCCGTCCTCACGAAACTCGGTCTTTATATCCTCCACGACCTCTTGTTGCTTCAGACCCCATTCCCACTTCTGGCCTTTGCGCACAAGCTTTCGCAAGTGCTCCACTCCGGCAGCAAACCTGCTGATGAAGATGCGCCAAAACCAACAGGTTCCGAGGAAACTTCGCACATCTGTGATTGACTTGAAAGGGGTCGGCCATTCCAAGATTTTATTAGTCTTCTTCGCATCCGGCCGACGACCTTTCTCGTCACAAAGGAACCCCAAAATCACTGCTCTTTTTATACAATGTAGAGACTTAATCCCACTAGCTGTGAGATTAAACTCCTTCAACCTCTTAAGAACTTTCACCACGTCTTTGATGTGCTCCCAGACAAAACGGCGAATGCTCGGCAACACCTCCGTCAGGTTCTTCGTATAAGATCCTGGAATAGCCAAGTCGTCAATATACGGCGAAGTTATGTTAGGACAATAAGGCTGCATAACCCTCGTCATATATCTCTGAACAATGGCAACGACATTTGTCCACCCCTGCGGTGCCACACACTTATGGATCAACCCGCGAGGAGTATGCATCGCCATCTTGGGCCGATCCGCAGTGTAAATCGGGAGTTGATCATACCCAGAATATAAATCGATGAGGGTAATGATAGACCTTCCTGCACAAGATTCTGACAGCAGGTCTGCATGTGGAAGTCCTCCTGCATCTCGCACTGTCACCGAATTCAGCTTCTGGAGGTCCTGAATCCATCGCAGAGTACCATTTGGTTTGATGAAACAGAACCATGGAGATGCATACGGCCCGTGAGAATAATCTGCAACCTTTGTCCGGATCTTTCCATCGAGGTATGCGACCACCTTACGGTGATCCTCCGGGTTCGGATAACGTGGCCCTCTTACATTCCATGGCTCATTTGGTACAATATGAACTCTGATCATCGGAATTTTATCGACATCCATCCTTCCTCGCTCATCATCATCAAACGCATAGGAGAGATGTTCCTCGCTCAATATATCGATGATGTATCCCTTCTCCTGCTCAGTAAGGAGGTCCTCCTCCCCAATGATCATACCTTCCACTCTTTCCTTGGTTAACCGACATGGCCCCTTTTCACCTCTCTCTTTCATTTCTCTGATCCACTCGCGCTCCTCACGATAAAAGACTTCCTCCTCTTGAGGGATCAGAACAGGCACCGGCTTCGCCTTCACGCCTACTTTCTTGTACTTACGTTTGGTGCCGGTGTCAAGCCTGCATCCTCTAAAAAAGGACCCTGTCGAGTGAAGGGCAGTTCCTGACTTTCTCCCTTATTCCCTTCCGACGGGGAGTAAACAAGGCGCATAGTCCCTGTGCTTCCGGTGTCCGTGATGATCTCCGTCAAGGCTTGCACCACATTCGGATCGATCGCCGCATGTGTCGACACGAAATCGATTGCCTGCCCAATATCAGGCAGGGTCAGCGATAACTCACGAGGATTCGGCTCCTGCCCTAGCGATTCCTTCTCCTTTCTCAACTTTTCTGACTCCGGAAAACTATAGGATTCCGGGTTCAACCGATTCCGCGAGCAATAGGGTCAAGTGTTCGCACACTTGATCACTTCGTAATAACCGCAGACAGGATCGCAAAGAATTACAAACATGGTTCCATCATACTTGTTAATGATGATGCTTTCTGACCGACATAAGAATGCCCTTTCGAGCAGCACCTCGTGTTCCACTCTAGGTAACACATAGAAGTAAGAACGAACCTTAACTTTCTCAACCGTGACGAGAACGCCACTGGTTGTTCCACAGAATGGAGTTGATCTGCTAGCTCCCACAAAAACCCATATTCATCTCGGTTGATCTTCAACCCAGCTTCGATGGCATGGCGCTCACAAATGATGTTCATCTCGGCTCCATCATCCATAAGTGCCGAGTACTCCTACCGTCCAATCTGGACCTTCATATGGCCGGTCGACACACTTCGCCAATCCATCTTTGTCCCAGGCGGGGACCAGTTAGCCTCCGACGGAATGACTTCGCCGAGCTCAACAGTCATGACTCTCTTACGAGTCATCCGTTGTTTAAACTCTTCTCGAATTTTCGGCGATACCGCCAAAATTTCTTTCAGCGTGACCAAGTCGCGCTGACTTTCCAGAATCTTATTAATAAGTTGCTCGATATCGACCCCCTGCTCCACGGGGATCGAATAAATATTCTTCTTCTTTCGTGGCTCCTCCTCTCTAACATCGGCCTTCCCTTTCTCCGGCTCCCTTTCCAGTGCACGACGATGAGCCCGTTCTTCCTCTTCAGCCCGCAACTTCTCATCCTCGTTATCCTCATCATTCTCACTAGCGGAAATAGGTTTTTTTTCCAATGCCTTTTCAGACTCTCTTTCCTTCTGAAGCTGTTCATTTCGTCGCCGCACCCGAGTCTGAACGGCTACAGTCGGGGCACTCCTCTGTAGCACAGGCCTATGTCGCATCGTGCTTACCATTGATCCAATTTGTGATGTTTCTCTCGGAGACGACGTCCCTGCTTGGCCAGACGCATCTTTCCTTTTATCACCCCATTCGCCAAAGAGAAAGACATTCGGCAATCCAGGCCAGACTTCCTCCATGTCCACATAAAGTCGGATGATAGAGTCCCGGCATCGGGCAAGCCGCCTAGTGATGGTTTGCGCTCGTTCCACTACTTGTTCCCTGAATCCTTCTGGCTCTACCAGTAAGTCGTAAATATGCAATGACGCCATGACCTCCTCGACCTCGGCCAACCGTGCTTCTTCAGGGGAAGCAATCCGGAACGTTGCCGGTAGCGGACGACCCATTTGGCGATACGCCTCCTTCCTCATACCCCCTTCAATGTTGGGGTCGATCGAATTCCCTTTGTAATCAAAGATTTCACCACGTATAGTGGTGAAGACTATCCCTTCCTTCTCATCTTTTGAAAGGAGTTGGCAAAACCGCATAATATGACCCTTTTCTGCGCAATAGTTACATGTGTCTTCCTGCTGCCACGCCCAACAGCTTCGCTGTCCGTTTCCACGGCCTCGACCACGGCCTCTTCCACCCTGCGGCTGAAACTGCCCTTGATCTTGGGAACTTTGTCCTGACGAAGCAGTGCCAGCATTGTCACTCCCTCCTTGATTATTTTGTCCGCCGTTCTTCCCCTGTTTACGGGAAGTCCCCTATCCGCCTTCAGTTTGATACAAGACCTTCCTCTCCGCCTTTGTCAACTTGCGAGGCGGCTCCTTTTCTTCCTCGCTCTCACTGTCACTTTCTTCTTCCGTCGGCTCTTTCCCCTCCCTCTTACTATTTTTCTCTTTGGCCAACATGACTTGAAGCTTCAGCCTTTCCTCCTTCATGCCCTCCATCATTTCTCTCATGCAAGTCAAAGTTTTGTAAATTTCACCGTCCTTTACTTCTCCCAGCTTCACCTTTTCCCGCTCCTCCTTTTGCTGCCTCAACAGTCGGTAGAGGATATCGTCGAACTTCCCCACCAGCGCATTCTGCCGATCCTTAGTCCAGTCATACCTCCCTTGCATCCCTTCAACCAATTTCGACTGTTCGACGTCGTTGAAGTTATCAAGGAAGATGAGGCAGCGATCTTTGTCGGAAAAATCCGGGATTAGGCGAGCCACACGCGCAAACTCCGACAATAATTGTTTGGTTGTACCAAACTTTTTACGATCCACCGCCCTCAAATCCTGCAGGTCGAGCAACCGATCGCTGAGCTGATACTTCTCCAACAACCGCGCCTTAAAATCTGACTAATCGCGAGAGACCTGCAGCAGCTCATCGATCTCGTCTCGGTACCCCACCTGACAATACCTTTTTACAATGCAAAGCATCTTCTCATCCGTCCATTCATTGCTATACCCGAGTTGCTCAAACTTGTCTTCCCACGAAGAGGCATGATTCCCATCGAACAATGAAACATCAATCTTGGGGTAGGGCTCTCGCTGCGACTGCCGAATGACCCGTGCCAATTCTTGAATGTCGTTCCTCCCATCGTCGACGTTGTCGYGACGTCCTGYGGCACCGTCCATCTAGAAACATAAACCCAAGAAATCAGTCTAGGAGTTTTGGTGACATCTATTAAGGTTCCTTCCTTACATWTATAGAGGCTCAGAGATTACTAACCTKTTTTYTTAGACAACCACTACGGCACAATCTTTCACTTGCTTCATTCCCGAGTGTCGTTCCACCAGGGACAACGGTAGTTTGCCGTTATCCCCGGCAACGGCGCCACCTGTCGAGCGCATCGGCCCCCGTGCGAGCGAGGACCCTCCCGGCCGCGTCACACAGGGGAAACGTAGTCTTTCAACTTTTTAGAGACAACTCGGGGACGACGCGGCAACCCGCGCCGACCCTTCGCTGCTCCGGCCGAGTGCGCCAGCTGTACATCCCGCGGTCCCCTACGACAGGACAGGTTCTAGCGGGGCACAACTTACCTTCCCTAAGGGGCTGTCACCACCCTTAAGGGCGTATCCCTACCGAGCTACCGACCCACATGCGAAAGTTTTTATAATGCAATTGCAGAGGTAGGCCGGCCGAGGGCGTTTGCTCGTTCGCTGTAGCATAGGTACACATGGTTAAACACCAAGTGGACCCGAACGCCGCCCGTCCCTGGGACACTGATCTCCCAGGAATCGGAACGACGTCGGTTGACTAGGACGTGATATTCCAAGCGTAAGAAAACCTCAATTAATCCTAGTCCCTTTTCTCAAAGACAATCAAAAGTTAAACATCAAAGGAAGACTCAGGTCAACGTAAGCTGACATGTATTCTGAGATCAACTTATATGTAATACAATCATGCATACCACTCGTCAACAAACAGACAAAAGCATGACTTATACAGRATGCGAASCTCAAATRACATCTRACTAAAGTATCTACACTCTACTTGTCAGACGGTTGGACTGTCACGACTTTTTCCGACTCGATGAGATGCGTTGCCGAGTTCTTTCACTCCACYRYATGCRGACTGCAAGCAAGAATGCAGACAAATYCCAATACTCGATTAAAGYTAGGACGCCRTCGCACCAGTGATGACTATGCTCCCACTCTAACTTTGGTGTGARTGCCATCTGCAAATAACTCGGCTACCACTTTTACAAGTCAGCRACCAACTCGAACAACTGACACACTGATCACTTCGCCAAAGACGGGGTCCACCYTGCCTCTGGGAAACAATTACTCTTGTTGTTCTATGAATGATGAGGTACCCGCCTCCAACACAAAGACATTCAAAGCAATACTTTAGTCGTTACCTTCTGTCAACTAGCCTGATGACCCCAGGCTTGCACTTCTTATGGTGCAAACCTGTCCGCGAAGGCAGTGCCTAGTCGCACTCCGTCCATAGCTAGTGAACACACGAACTGGGCTTCTTATGGTGCCAGTTCCCCATTCGTCCGTGGCTCCTAAGACGGCCACTAGAAGGGTAAACTATAGCAGTCCTTCTTAACTTTAGCCGCCAAGAACTTGACACCTCCCATGAATAGCACACACCCATCCCCTAGGAGGTGGTCTGGGATACCCTTCGTCCTCGCCCGAGCGAACCTCGGATCTCAGAAGTCGGGCTGGCTCCACCACGACAACATGGTATCCCCCCGCCTAAGCGGTCCACTCCGAGACGTTAACAGGGTCGGCCCCTAAGGCAACTAACCCCCGCCTCAAATGCGTCCTAGGGAAGGGAAATGCACTTACCACAGCAGACGGTCAACCCTTATCGCCTGACGTGAAAGASGGACCTAGACGAAGAAGGAGATCACAGAGAAGAAAACATTCAGATAGACGGCATAGATAAAGAGGGACATTCGCGAAAGAATGGGTAACCTCAGAAAAAATCTACGTCCAATTCATTTCTTCTCCTTTATGTGATCGCTCCGTTCCTCGTCGTCTGCTGTCTTCTCATCCTTCCAACATGCATGCAAGCAAAAAATAGAAAACAGTCATCACCCCATTCACTTTCGCTGACATGATTGAACCTCCATTTTCCAAGCATCCTTCTACTTACCTGCACATGAGATCAAACAACAAGTTCAAGAGAAAACAATGCAATYCCAAACTCATGTCARACTTTCARTCACAYGTGCAAACAAAYACAACTTCCCCTACCTTTCCAGTGARCATTCAAAGAACAGGGTCAAGCAAGTGTGGGTTCACAYAGTTGTGAAGGGGTCTGAGTCAAACAACTGACCTTGAGTGAAGTTGAAGCGGCTCACTCAAGAAAGCCTAATATTTTTGTTAAAAGACKGATCACACAACTCACGTTGTGGCCTGCTTACAAAAATAAACCATGCTCCTCTTCAAGTGCCACCACTGACCCAGGCGCCGCTTATCAAGACAAAGCAAGCTTGCYKTCGAGAAGAGCACCCCCACTCTCAAGTCTCACACGGCCTCACTATAGTCTCAACGGCATACCTCCTACAAAGAACARCGTCAGTTCAMTCTCCACTCCAACCCCCACCGATTGCCAAGTCAGATCACCGCACGCCTCCACAATACTCATTTCCCGTCTCACTYCTCACTCACTTGRTCCCAGAATGGTCCCAGATAGTTCCACACCATCGCCGCAATACTGGGTGGTCCCAACTCAAACCCCTCTTGCCCAACGTGCCGTAAAAAAATTGGTCTCGACCAGCCTTTTAGGTGCCGTATGTTACTGGCAGCGTTTCCGCATAACCACCGTCGACCCCAATGCTGCCACCGCAAAATTTCGGCAGCGCTTCCGCACTACCGCTAATAAAAGCACCGCCGTCGTCGTGCCAAGCGGACAACACCTCTTCTACAGACTCCAATGATGGATGCCGCCGCCAAAAAAGCCATGCAACATCTCCCCTACACCGCCAGCCGAACCCCTGCCGCCGCTGGGCAGAGTTTCCCCCTGCACTGCTTTCACCAAGGTGGCGGCTATGGCAGCCTCCACCTCCTCCTTCGCCAGCAGCTCCAGCATCTCCACCAGCAGCACCCAGCCAGCATTTACTCAAGTGAATGCCTCAGCAGCATTGCCACAACTTGTGAGGCTGCTGGGTGGACTGCTGGCTTTAATAGCCAGCCGAGAACATGTGGGCAGCTGCTTTGCTCACAGCCAGAACTCGGAATGAGGCCTGGCCCTTGATGTTAAACGCGATCAAGGGCTGCAAAACTTGATGTTCCCCTAGGGGGACCAAGTTCAAGCCTCTGGGAGTGCATCTGGCCATCACCTGCGGCCAGACGCACCACAGAAGTGACTGTACTCAACCATTTCTGAGCAGACTGTTGAAACCAACAGTCTGCTGCCCTATCAAGGTCCAGATGCTTCTGGACCTTGCATCTGGACAGAGGCCGCGGCGAAATCCGCGGCCCCCC